ATTCATTTTGTAGCGAAGGCTGGGTGAAGTTTGCAGTCTATGTATAATTCTCAGCTGTGTCAACCACGCCCTGTTACATACAGAAATTCTTTTAATATTTTCAAATATTTCCCGCCAGTCCTCATCTGCAATTTCCACTCCAAGATCTGCTTCCCACATCCGCTTGGTGGCCAGAGTACTAACAGTTGAAGTAGATCTTAATATACCATAGCAAAAGCCAATCAGACCTCTTCTAAGGCCAAGTGAGAGGGCTCTCTCAATCTGAGAAGTTTCTATATTAACTGTTAATGTTGTACGCTTAAATATAAAATCTCTCACCTGCAGAAAACTAAAGTGAGGCCTGTGAAGACATATTTTTGCTGTAACTGAGTGAAAGACTTAAAGGCAGAGCCGTTAAATAAATCTCCTAATGTTGTTATGCCACCATCTCGCCATAGCCTAAACACAGGGTCCTCAACACCTGGGGGGAAATCAGGGTTCCCTTGAATTGGAGTGCGGGGTGATGTTAACTTGGTTCGACTCTCCATAGATCTTGCAAATTTCCATGCCCTTAGCGTGTTTAGGATGATTGGGTTTGTACACAGTTTTTTTGCTAAGGCAGGATCTATGAGAAATAACAGATTTCGGAGTGGACAGCTACATTGGGCAGCTTCTACATCTAGCCATGTAGAAGACTGATCTTCCTTCAGCCATTCAGCCACGAACCTTAAGTGTGCAGCCACCTGATACCACCTTACATTTGGAAGATCTAAACCTCCAGCAGCCTTGGGTAGCTGTAATTTTGCTAACTTCAAACGGGGCCTTCTTTTATTCCAAATAAATGAACTCAGCCAACCTTCAATGATCTTAACCACCTTATTTGAAAGAATAATGGGCACCATTTGGAGTGGATACAAAAGCCATGGTAAGGCATTCATTTTGATGAGTGCAACCCTACCAGGCCACGACAGCGGGAGGGACGCCCAGCGGTCAAGGTCACATTTTATAGTGTCTAAGAGAGGTGTAAAATTAGCACTATACATCTGATCAAATGAGGGGGTTACGCGTATACCTAGGTATACAAAACCTGAAGGAGACCAGCAAAAGGGAAATGGGACAGGGGCTTGGGGGACAGTACTAAGAGAACCAAGTGGCATAATTTCAGATTTAGAGAAGTTGATCTTATAACCTGAAAATGAACTAAACCTGGTGATGGTATCAATAACAGATGGAATAGAGAGATTTGGGCTGGTAAAAAGTAAAAGCAAATCATCCGCATATAGATTAAGCTTATGCTCCTTTTCTCCAACAAAGATACCAGAGATTGTGGGTGATTGGCGTATAGCCTGAGCCAGCGGCTCGATGGCCACGGCAAAGAGCAAGGGGCTCAGTGGGCAGCCCTGGCTATTGCCATGTTGGAGAGAGAAATTTTTCGATCTCAAGCCGTTTGTGATAACCGCTGCCTGTGGGTCATTATAAAGGATTCTAACCCAGTTAATGAAAGTATCACCAAGGCCAAAAACATTCATGGTATAGAAGAGGTAGGACCATTCGACACGGTCAAATGCCTTCTCTGCATCCAGAGAAAGCACCAGACTGGTCTCCTCCCGCCCACGCATGTATTCAATAATATTGAGGAGCCTCCTCACATTATTGGAGGAGCTCTGGCCCTTAATAAAACCAGTTTGGTCTACATTAATAATATCAGGGAGGAAACGTTCAAGTCGTAAGGCCAACATTTTAGAAAGCAGTTTCAAATCAGAATTTAATAAGGCAATCGGCCTATAAGGGGCACAATTTTCAGGACACTTTTCTTTTTTTTAGAATTAGAGCTATATTAGCCTCCCTTAATGATGGAGGGAGGATTCCTGTCTCAGCCGAATATTCCAACATAGCTAGGTAGGGGTCAAGGAATAAATTAGAAAATTTCTTGTAAAATTCACATTGAAAGCCGTCAGGGCCTGGTGATTTTCCCGATTGAAGCTTTTTAAGGGCGTTATGGATCTCCTCCTTTGAAAAGGGGGCATTTAAAATGGATCTCTGCTCTTCTGAAATCGTAGGAAGATCGATGCTTATATCCAGGTAAATGGGAGCATGGTCACTCACCACTATGCTCCCAATTTTACACGACACCACAGAATACAGCAGTCTCTTAGGCAATAAAAAGTAATCTAATCTAGTATGACATTTATGTGGGTTCAAAAAAAAAGTAAATTCTAAGGAGGAAGGATTAAATGTCCTCCAGACATCAGCAAGATCAAAATCATTACAAATTGAAATAAGGGCTTTAGCTCACCTACTAGGAGGACCATCAGCAGGAGGGAGCCTGTCTTTCAGTGATTTATATTAGACAAAGAAAATTTTAGATTTACATCCCGTCCTGACTGTAAACCAGGTCGGGATCAGCCAGTGGCGGTTCCGCACATGTGTGATTCACTTGCAGGGGTTAACATCTCCTGCTCTGACTGTTGCTGGGAGGGAGGACTGGGCCGTCTGTGAGTGCTTTGGGGTGAGAAAGGAGCCCACGGCAGCATCCGCTGCTCATTGAGAAGAATGAGAATGATACGTGCTCTCACAACAGAGTCTCCAGAAGTCTTCAGTAACATCAGAAAAAGTCGCTAGATTTGTTGCTAGTCGCTTTTTTGAAAAAGAGTCGCTAGAGGGGTCTGAAAAGTCGCTAAATATAGCGACAAAGTCACTAAGTTGGCAACACTGGCAGTATGCGCGTACAGAGAGCAGCGCCAGATGTCCGGAGTGAAACACGCAATCAGCCAAGCTGCTTCTCCGCATCTTTCCCCGTTTTTATCATTATGTCTCAAAACTACAATGGCGAAAACGTGAAATGCATCCACAACTAAAACAGGCAAGCTAACTACCAGTATTTGAAAGCAAATTTACAGAAATACAAACAATCCAAACTCCTTCTAATAAGTGGACATGGCAACCATGGTGCACTTGTTTCGTACTGCCTGGAATATGCCACTTGGATGGGGTGCAGAATAATTCAAATACGATTATTTAAATGTAAATAAGATTAATTTATTTAATTTTTATTTTACATTTTATATTGAAAATATTCAATTAAATATTAATTAATTATTATTCAATTATATATTATTTTGACTTAAAAAGAGTTGAAAAAAGTGTGGGGGGGGGGCAAGATATGAGTTTTGCCCCCCCACCTTGAAAAGTGGAGGGGCATTTGCCTTACTTGCCTATAGGGGTAGGTGCCAGTGCCTATGTCCACAGTACAGTCATTTTACTGTAAAAACCTAACTTATTCCAATCTAAACATTTCAGTTACTGTTCAGTTACTATTGCTATTAGGCTTTTATTGGTTATTTTTATGTATACATGGGATGAATGTGAAAGTAACTAACTAAAAGTGACTTTTTAAGGTGAATTTTACATTAAAGCCTCTATGAGCCAAATGCTGCAAGTATTGTTTTTTGACTGGGTGTGTAGTTTTTCTTCAACTACCACTGCCATCAAATCTCATCACTTTGTTCGCCACCAGCTGTAAACTCCACCAACAATGAGTTTGAAGAAAATGGGAGGGAGAAATTCCTAGTGGCACTAGTAAACCTCAAAGCCTACTTGGCCTTTACTACCCCATGGAGATTGCTGAAGCATGGAGATTTGTCCATCACTCTCCCATTGGAGTCCATCCATTTACCCAGCTGGAGGCCCAGAATGGGTGCTCAGCAGGTTTGATGGGCTCAGCAGTGGGTAGATGGTAGAGACTATCCACCCCCCTCTGCAGCTCCTTTAAAAGTGGCAGTTTACGAGGGGCCTCCATTACACCAACCAGCATGTTCTTTTGTCAACTTGCACTCCAGGAGTAAGACATTCATGGGCAAATTGTTGCTCCCTGTCTCCCAGAGGAACATTTTTTCTTCACATTCATGTACCAAGACTAATTGAAGACTGTGTGCTTTCGTTGGGAGGGCCCGGTCGGATGCAGCGAAAGCGATAAAATAAAGAAGTGCTGCAGAGTGCTTTGGTTGGCCCGAGATTCTGTTTTTCATGACTGGGGGAGGTTGACTGGCAGGGACAGAGTTCAGTCTCATCGGACCTTTATTGCTGTAGGGAAAAGGCTTATTTACTGTAAACTGTTTACGAAGCTCTGTCACTATCTCTGGACATGCAGAATAAACACAGGAACACACTCCCACTCCTAATGTCTTGTAAACATTAGAAACACGCACAGACTGACAGACAGACAGAAATACAATCTGAAAAAGACACTATACTCTGGATGACTCCTGCACACACACATGCATGTGCGTGCCCACACACAAACACGCATGCACACACGCACACACACACGCATGCACACACATGCACACACACACACACACACACACACACACACACACACAGTGTAGTTATTAATATAATCACAGTGAACACAAATATACTCACACACTTTCATAAGACAATGTGCACGACATAAGTACACACTTGCATTGAAAAAAGAAGTTGCATGCAAACACAACTTCTTGTCTTAACAATGCTTGAGTGCTGTTAGTTTTATTGGTGTCCCCAGTTGTTATACAGAATGGATAAACTCCTCATACTCTTTCTCAGTCTCAACAATCCAAACTGTTTCCCATCGTTTTTCTGGGTTGTATTTACACGGTCGGATTCAGACCTACATGGTTCTGCACATGTACCCAATCTCTCTTTAAAGTTAAGGGAGAAAAAAATATCACAGATGTCTGAAGAAAAAAACAGAATCTGTGGACATGCTGCATCTGCCAAGTATATGGTATCACACTTTACAGAACAGCTTGAGCAGATAGATGAATCATCAAGCCATCCCGTAGGTTTTAAAATCCATCTTTGCACACAGACATTCTGTTTCCTGCCTCATATGTGTTGTGCATTTAAACAGACACGTCAAAAAGTATGTAATGTGAAAAGTGTGTTTGCTCAAGTGTGCTAGTTTAATAATGGTTTTTCCGTCTATCTCTGTATCCCCCACCCCCTTCACCCTCCTCCACCCCCTTCTCATGAAGACCCTACCTCTTTGGGGCGGGATGTTTTGCCATTAAAACTCCATGGTGAGTTTTGCTTCTCCCCTCCATGGCTCCCTCGGCAGCATGCAACTGTATACACAGCACATTGCCTCCTTTACCTCTCATTTGTTTCTTGGTATGTTTTATAACACATCTGTGCAGTCATTCCTTAAGATGGAAAAAATCCCCCAAATGAGTATTTGTTATTTTCTCATCTTTTTGTGCCTTTCTTTTCTTTTTTTGCAAACCCTTCAATCTCTCTGTGTTTGTTGAGCTTTTGTAGTTCAACATATATATATTCTATCATATTGTATTGTATTACCAATTATGGCTTCACAATTTAATTAATGCAATGTCTTTTAATAAGAAAGGTTGTAAACATAAAAAATGGAATGCTTTAGGCCTGTATCATAAAGCCCAGGGCTTTGGGGCAAGCCATAGCATTTCTTGCCTGGTTGCCATGTGGTCTCTTTGAAACCACCAGCTGGAGTCACCCATTAGAAAATGGTATCTCTGTCTTCTTGTCTCTTTCTTTCAGTTTAGACTTTCCATCATCATTTTCCAAGAATAACGCCTTTATGTTAATCCTATATTCCTTAAATTTTCTTTCAGCTTGCTTTGGTTGCAGTTTTTACTCTGTTCAGTGTGTTTGCATGCTGTAATTGTGCCATGTCATATTGTGGTGATATTGTGAACAGTATCTTGTGTGAGTATAGAATATGAGTTATGTGGACCTTTCTCCTACGAAATGTATTTTGCAAAGGACTAAAGGTGAACTCAAAATGCCAAATACTGTAAATTTTTGGTTTCATTAATTCTAACTAAAGAATTTAATTTCAAGCTTCCCTAATCAATATTTGTATAGTAACCATGGGTCAAATGACAATGTCCAAAGAGGTCACTCCAAATGATGAACACACAGACCCAAAGATCATCTTTTGGCTCGTTTTGATTTTCTGCCTACAACTTTACTGTTTTTCTTCACTTTCACGGCTCTCACACACCTTGTTCCCAGCCATGGTGGGCAGCTGTTTTCAGCAAAAAACTCAGATTAATTCCAAGTAAAATATTCAATATTCTAATGTTCTGAATATCAACTCATTACTTGCTATTTTAGAATAAGCATTACAATGTAATGAGCTAGTTTGGTTTCAGACCTCTAAACCACTGCCCACAGCTCCAATTTTGATCAGAAATTTAAATAATTGTGGTGCTCACTGACTGTACCGACAGACAACTGAGCCAATCAGAGCTTTGGAGGCAGGACTAAGAATGGGTATGTCACCTTCCTTTGCCAAAGTTAGATAAAACCCAACACAAAAATGCCTGGGACAGCTGTAAAGATTCTTGTTAGTTGAATAACAAAAAGAAAAAAACAACCCTTAAATCTGCACTTTCCTTCAATTATCAAGAAATACAATAACTACTCTTTGCAGCCACATACACAACTTCCGTTTTAACTGAAAAGAACATTGGTGAAACTTGCTAACAACTTGTTAGGGCAAAATGACTACCCCTCCCAAACAGAAAATAGCTGTCAAGAACACTGTCAGGCTGATTACTAAAGTGAAATTTTATAATGGCAATTTAACCTTATTTTAATCAGGCAATTATTTACCTTGACTTGTAACTTGATTTTTTAATGCTTTCACTCAGAATCAAACTTCAGAGCGCACAGCATCTTCCCATTCAAGGAACTTTTTCTTCCAGGGGGCTGAAGCTAAGTCTCTTTTAAATGCTGTTTCAAGAAATCAGATGCTTACAAGCTTTTAAAAGAAGCCCCATTATGACAGAGTTACTTATGGAGAGATGATTGAGTGACTCAGCGAAGTGAACTTTTCCCTTCCTGGCTCCCTGCTCTCCAGCTCCTCCCTGGTGACTCCATTCACTTTAGAAAATAAATAGCATGTGGTGCCTTCCCCATGTCTTGGGTTTCATCTTTTGTTGTGGGCAGTCACTCATACTTTTTAATTGCAGCTTTTTTCTTTCTGTCTTTATCCACCTCCTGTTTAATCTAGGCCCTTAGTGATTTCATAGCATATACTTTTCAGAGGTACACATCATTAGCACCGGAATCTTGACCCTCACAATAACCGCCTTCCATTCATATTTGAGCCAGTTAAACCTTTATTGTTTCTCTAATAGTGTATGTCTTGAGATTTGAGCTATGACAGTCCATTTGCCAATATCTGCTTACCCAGAGTTCATTCATTTTAGTTGATTCCCAGGATAACATGAACTGTGTCATGTCTTCTTGAATTTATGTTCAAAGCATGAACAACTGACTTTGTTGTGGGAGACTCCGACTTTCTGACCAAATTTATGTGCTTACACCAATACTTGCACAATCTGACACCCAAGATTATTTGATAAACCTACATGATCAGTGTGGCACACATAGAGTATAGGGAATAGGAACAGGTGAAAAAAAGTCCTTGCTTCCATGGTGATGGCCGCTCTCCAATGTTCACTGAGTTTCCTCAGTGGTTGTCATTAGTGCTGTGTGTTCGACACAGGCCCGAGGCTGCTGCTTTTCCAAGGGCTGTTGTAAAATAATAAATGTGACGTTGAAGGACGTGTCCTCCACATGACTTCCCTCCCTCTCTTTCTCTCTCTGTCTTTCTTTTCCTTCCTAGTTGCAGTCTTAATACCAGCTCCTTTTATGCTTTTAATTAACCATATGGCCCAGAATCAGCGCAGCAACAGCCATACAGCTCTTTGTCACTGGATGGCCAGCTGAAGTGAGCTTTTTCATATTTGTTTACTGCGAGGGCCCTGAAAATGAATGGAAGCTGCAACTGGACTTCCATCCCCCCTTGGAGGCGCCTCACGTTAGCCCCGGACATAGTAATGCAAAGGGACTTTGATGGTTGATGTCGCAGATTGAATTATGGAAAAGCTATTAGCTTGGTCAAGAGTCCTCATTTGTTAAATTAAAAGTGGAAATGACATGAGTCTTCAGTGAATTAAAGTTGCAAAGAAAATGGATTCCACTCCCTGTTAAAGGGCAGACATACCAAACGAAATATTGTGGAGGGAGAAGAAAAATAGAGATTTGCTGTTTGTTTAGTAACCACGCCCCCAGTTCTTTTTTATCATGTATTTATGTTTTATAATTTATTGGTATAGGGTTATGATTTTCATTTGTAAACGCACTCCCCTACCACTGGTCCACTCCAAAAAGTGGAACTGCTTCTTTGTAGTACAAGGGCAGAAACCTTTTAAGCCACTTCAGGTGAGATCGAGGTGAAAAGGATGATTTAAAACACAGATGAGTTAAATTCAGTGGTCACTGCACCCTGAGGAGAGGACAACTGAGCTGTCATCTTTGGTCCAGTTGGCAGACTCAGCTCAAATCCAGTTCATCAATTATGAGACCACAGTGAGGAGCCAATAATATAGCTTGCTTTCACAGACTTACAAGTATAGGTATTGGTGTTTGTGATTATATACATGTATGTACTTATATATACACATATTAGTGTGTGAGCTGGCAACCCTAATGCCTCCAAATAATAATCGGTACTTTGCTTCTGACTAAGTCCTTTTTGTCATTCTCTCTTAAAGAAAACACTTTCAGGTCTTTTTCCTTGATTTATTTTTCAACTTCTATTTAAGTCCAAAGTAAACATAAAGACTACAAGGAGCTCAGAATATCTAATAGCACACAGTGTAAGTCATTCTGTGGTATATTCGTCAGCCCCAAGCTCTCACTCTTGAAAACCAACATCAACTTGCTCTGAAATAGGATTTGTGTTTCCTGGGTTATTAAAACCAGTGAACCACCGTGCCTTTGAGAGTTAAACACATTTTCCAGCAATGTGAGAGATGGAACACCAGGGTTTCCCGGCACCCAACAAGAACTTTTACTTTGCAGGGCCATGCAGTCAAAGTTGGGAATACTGTTTCTTCTCTTGAGCAAAGAACACAGGTGAAATGGTGTCTTGTGACCAACAGATCTCGTGTTTCACTTTAATGGATCACTGTAGAGTTCTTGAAAATGTGTACTTATCTTACATATTGTTGGAATGTATGCCTCACTGAGGGAGACCATTGCTGGGACTAAGCCTTAATGTGAGCCTGGCCTTGTAACATGTCTCCAATTAAAGTATCAAAATGGCTCTCGTAAAATAATTAATGATTATTAATAGTAATTATTAATAATGTTAAATAATGTGTAATATTACATAATTTACATTAAATCACCACATGGAGCACACCAAACTATCAATTTGGAATTCTGAGTAATAATTAAATAAATAACCATAACCAAAATTACCATATTAATAGTAAAGGCTGAAGGATTTCGGAGTTCTTGACATAGCAGAGGTTGACTATTCATTCACTCTTGTGCAATATTAAACAGACAACAGATATAATTCCAAATATATTTATTCATAAAGAAAGCAAAGCAAAAAAACCCCACAACTTCTAACTATGTAACTCTATACAAGCATGGGTGTGTATAAGTGTGTGTGTGTGTGTGTGTGTGTGTGTGTGTGTGTGTGCGCGAGAGAGAGAGAGAGAGAGACAAACAAAATGTCTGACAACAGAGAACTACATGATGGCCAAATCAAAGCTGGCTTCAGATCGGGGGAGGTCTGCTTGACCGTGTGATCATCAAAAGAATTGGGAACTTCAAGTTGCCTCTTTGAGTGTAGCCAATGTTGAAAGCCAATTCATGAGTGACTATGTGTATGCGATTTGTGTTGCAAAGGGTGTGGGTTAGTACAGAGGATCTTAAACTGATGTTTAATTAACCAATAACCTAACTGCACGCAATCACAACAATAGCTCATTAAACAGCATTAAAGTACAATTGACAAAGTTAAACAGTCTTGCTTAGCCTGTACGACTGTAGTCATGTTATGCCCAGTTGTTACATTACCAATCCTTGAATGGATGGAGGGAAGAGTTGCTTTATGGCGTGTTGCTGTTGTTAGCCGGCAGAGGAAGGCCAGAAAGAGCTGTGGTTCCAGTTGCAGTCTGTTCTGTGTCCATGTTCTGAAGGTGCAGATCCAAGGAAGCCGGTTGCTCTGGGTCCT